TTACGAGGCATAACACCTTCTGTCGACAGAACTCTGTCGACAGAAGGTGTTACTGCCTGTAATGTTGCGTCCAGACTACGGAGTTCTGTCGACAAAGCAGCTTGCTTTGTCGACAGAACTCAATGTGTCTGGACGCTCTTTGTCGACGGAAGTTTTGTCGACAGTATCTGTCGACAAAACTTCCGTCGACAAAACGCGGTAGTCTAGACGTACCCTTACTCTGAAAGCAGTTACATTTTTTCCAGTAAAGTAAGGTTTTATATCACATGAATAAAGGCAGCAGACCTGGCTATATATAGTTAAAGTTTAACACACAATATAAAGAGGAATTATTCCTTCCTAACAGAATCTTAACTAATGGGCTTATGTGATGGGGAGAAAACCAGGAAACTAACTCTTCATGAAGTAGTATCAATTGTTAGCTGAAAATGAATAATTTATTGTTCAGTGAAGGCTAGTGATGGATATTGAATCACAGTGAAATCAGCTTATGTAAACGGTGGTAAATGCAGAACCAAATCATTTGTGCTTCATGAAAATACACCAGAAATAATGAAAATTATTCTCTTTATCCATAAGTGTGTTTCTATGTGCATAGCATATGTATCAGAAGATATTTTTTTGTACAAGCATTACTTTGAATTATACATAACCCAAATTCATGCAGCACTTACAGTGTAAGAGTTTTTTAGATACAAAATGGGTCATTCACTCATCCCTAAAATGAAGCTACCTCTAGGGTGACATCCAGAAGTTGTTTTATAACAGCAACACTACAGAATAGTTGTAAGGAGGAAGAAAATTAGGAGTGACTTCTCTAGTTGACACTACAGAGAGAATGTTAAGAATACAAAATCGGACTACAAATATTGGGGTTTTGCCAGGACTGGAGTGTTATCATCACTCTTCTAAAAAGTGACATTGGAAATACAATTACCCCAACTGACAAATCAGATGGATTTATTTTTGATCTTGCAACTCAAATCGCACAATGCCTGTGGATTTGGAAAAGCAGAGAATATCTCCCTTCCATCCCAAAGGACATATTTATAGCCCTCCTGAATGTCTTGCAGATCTTACATATTCAGCTCCCAAGGAGGAAAATATTAGGAGTTTTCCAGTTATAAAGATGGCATAATTATCTCTTTAAGGATGAAAGTTATTTGTAATTCCCCCCCTTCTCTTTATGTACATAATAGTCCAGAGTGAGATGCCCTTGTTTACAGTATACAGCCTGAATAGTCCTATTAAAATCAATGGGAATATTTGTGGAGTAAGAAACACAAGTAAGGATATCACAATCTGGTCCCAGTGACTATCTGGGAATCTCAGAAAAACCAAAAGAAAACATTCACAAATTTCAATAAAATATAATTAAAATGAGCACCTATAGTTACCAAGTTATATTTATTTTCATTTTCAGTAGCTATTGCATTCCTGATTAAGTTGAGCTATGTGGATAGACTTTTCAATTACATCTAGGGCCTAGATTTTTAAAAGGTACTTAGGCATTGTTTTGTTCAGAGTTGTAACACCTAACTGACTAGAAGCCTATGTCTCATTATTTTAAATTGATTTGGGGATTAGCTCCACAAAGGAAATTACAAATCAAAGTGCCACTTTAGGAGTATAAATCCAAAATTGAACCTCTCAAAAACCCTGCTCAACTGCTGCCTGCCTCTGTAGGCACCTAAACTTACTAGATGTCTAACTTGCTGTTGGTGGGCATGTGCAGAACCACCTAAGTTTTGACACTGCCAAGAGGCTCAGCACCTAGAACCTCTAACTACGTGTCCCTCCATCACTTTCCAGGGCCTTATCCCAGTAGACCTTCTCAGAGGCCACATAAGAGTAGGCCTGCCAGACTGAGCCCTGAATGAAACTTCTCATACACTATAACTGGGCTTCACAATTAGATTTCTTTAATCAGTAAACGTCGTTGAACATTGATTTGATAGTACACCCACAACCAAGGAAAAAACACTTGGATCAATCATCATTGAAATTTACAGATAAGCAAAATAAGAAAAATGCTCAGATTTGTGTATTCATAGTTATAAAACTTAGCTTTTTGAATCTCAACATCTTCTGTCACTAAATAACTATAGTCTGACTCTTCCTATTGTCTAACCCTTCATAATTCTCCATGATTGTGAAAATTTAAAAGGATGCAAATAAAATGCTTTAAAACATCAGTATTGCCTGTTGAAATTATGAAGGTAAAAGGTAAAAGCATATTCTGCTAAAACTAATATTGCTGTTCAAGATGTATTTCCTGAATCGTTTAATCCTACAATATGGTTCAAGTCACAGATTTTATTATCGATAATACTATTTTCAAAGCTCTCTCAACCCTACCAGTTTGGAAAAATGAAGGGCTATATTTTTAGGTGTCTAAAAAGGAAAACTCCAACAAGCAGGGACTTTCAGAAGTGCCTAGATGCCTATCTCTTTGCTTATCTTTTGAAAATTCCACAAGGGTGACATCTTCACTTTTAGGCTGCTAAATACTGTTTAAAAATCTAGTTGTTTTTAGCATAGCAATGCACTTCTAGTGCTACCACTAAGTCTTGTCATCAGACACGTGTTCTGTACAGAATTGAACTATACTGTATCTCTGTTATCCCTTCCAGGAAATGAGAAAATGGCCCAAAGATGCAAAGTTTGCACGACAGTTCCTATTAATGCTCATCACCAATTCTTTGAAAATTGGTCTCTAATCTATACTGCAAACACCACCAAATGCATTTTTGCAAATGCCAGCAAACTGCTTTGAAAATATATCTAGCAAGATATCTAATTTTTTCCAGAGCCATGGTGTCCAACACACTAGCCACATGTAGCTATTTGGCCAGTTGAATGTGGCTAGTTCGTTATAGCAGTAGCAAACACCATGTTGGACACCATGGTTTTAGATGATTGCTGGAATTTACCAATTGGGGTATATTTTTTTCAATAAAGGATACAATACATTGATGTTTGTCATTCTCAGCTTAGGGCAAGACCAATGTGTTTTGTCATTCATGGCAGAAAATGTTCTCAGCATCTACCAAGCAAACCACAAAAGCAAAACAAAACCACCTTGCCCTATTATTACACCTCCCTAGATGCTAATTTGACAATCTTGGAAGTTGGCGAGTGTCCAGAGTAACCATTCTGATTGCCCATACCTACGGCCAGCCCTGTCTAGTCTTATCACGATCTATGGCTCCTGTGTCCACCCCAGGCAAGTCACCTTTCAAACAAATCTAGTTCTCTTCTGAGGTAAAAAAAATAGTCCAAACAGACCAAGTCCCAAAGGCTCTGGGCCTTTACAACAAGCTCTCAATGACATCTGATACTTTGTCAGTTATGTACTTCCCTATCCTGAGGCTCATACTGTTTCCTTTGCTGTGGAAGATTTAGGGAAACCCTGGCGAGTCTTCTCCACTTGGTTCTAGAACTGGGCCCCATATTAGCCACCTACAGCTTTCTCCTTGCAATTTCTCATCACTTTCCTAGGCTGCGACTGCCTTTTTGGTGTTTGTCACATCGATTCCAGGGCTACAGCTTCCACTACTACCACTCTAAACTGCTCTTTCTTCACCCATCTTCTTCTCAGACATTTATCAATGAGCATCCTCAATGCCACACATAGGGCTGATCTACACTACAGCTGTAGGTTGACCCAAGTTATGCTCCTTCTATTAGGAGCTTCTGTAACAGAGTTAGTCTGTTACAGAAAAAAACAACAAATGGTCTGGTAGCACTTTATAGACTAACAAAACATGTTGGCTGTGTCCAGACTCAGGGTTTCTTTCGGGAAAAGTAGCCTTTTTCCGAAAAAACTTCACCTGCATCTAGACTGCAGCCGCGTTCTTTCGAAATTAAATCGAAAGAACGCGGCTTTTCTTTCGACGGCGGTAAACCTCATTTCATGAGGAAGAACGCCTTCTTTCGAAAGTGCTTCTTTCGAAAGAAGGCGTTCTTGAATGTAAATAGGGCTTCTTCGAAAGAGAGCATCCAGACTCACTGGGTGCTTTCTTTCGAAAAAGCGGCTTGCTCTTTCGAAAGTTCCGCGTGCAGTCTAGACGCTTTCTTTGGAAAGAGGCTCTTTCAAAAGTATCTTTCGAAAGAGCCTCTTTCGAAAGAGGCTTGCAGTCTAGACATAGCCGTAGATGGCATCATGAGATTTCGTGAGCACAGCCCACTTCTTTAGATGACTGGAGTTATGAGTAGGGGATATGAAAACTTGAAATAAATAGGAGAGGGGAAGGAACTCTGAAGGAGCCAGTTTGTGGTGGGTGGTGGTAACTATGTGTATTTTCCCCTTCCCTTCAGGTTTACTGTAATTATTGTGAAAGATGATGTGGTTGCTAAGGCACTAGCCTGGGATGCAGGACCTCTGATTTCTATTTCCAGCTCTGCTGCAGGCCTCCTGTGTGGACCTTGGACAAATCACTTTATTCTTCAAGTTTGATTCCGTCTGAATAATACTGACCTCATTCATAGGTGTACATTCATTAACATTTGCAAGGCAGTCAGTGATGTGGGTCATATAAATATCTAGCAATTGCTAACCACAGGAAAGACAAGTGTTGTTGTAAACTTGGTTTCATTAGCTGTCACTTTACAATTATACATGCATGTACACATTTCTTCATTTACAATTCACTGTTTAATTTTAATCACAATTATACTGAATTTCTGTTTTCCTTGCTATTTCCTATGTGTCTTCCTTTTCCCTCATGGACTCCTAAGCTATTTTTTTGGTACTGCTGCTAATATCATTGTGACGGAGCGTGCCCGCCCCGCACGGGAGGGACAGTCCGGGACGCGCTCTGCAGCCGGCAGCCAGGGGTGATTTCTCCCTGCCCGGGCTGTTCGGCTGCTGCGCGCCCAGCCCGACCGAGGAACACGGTGCCCGGCGTCAGCGCGAAGCTGCCGGGGCATCCGAAATGTTGCCGTGGTAACGCCAAGCGCCGCGGACGTGGGGGGAGGGGCCTCCGGGGGCAGACGGGGTCACAGCCCTGGCGGGACTTTTAAAATGGCTCCCGCACTAGAGAGGGGGAGAAGGAGGAAGAGAGCCTCCTCCTCCACAGGTCCCGGCAACAGGGACGAAAAACAGGTCCGTGGACAAGGACCCATCCTATCCAACAGACCGAATGCACCTCCGGCCCCCGGGCTTGCGGTAAGGAAACCGTCCGGGGCCTCGGCCGCGGGGTAGCCCCGGGAAGGGCGGGGAAGGTATCGGCCCAGGGCAGAGCCTGGATGGGCTGGTGGGCTGACGAGCTGCCGTCTTGAATCCTGTCAGCCGGGCAGGGTCTCTCTAGATCCTAGCCCTTAGGGCCCTGGGCTGGGGCCCGTGAGTGGGCGCAGGCCTGGGCCCCCCTTCCCCTCCCTTCATACCAAGGGTGCAGAAAATGAAGACGGGCCACACAGCGAGAAATAAGTGGATTTAATTAACTGCTCGGGGGAGTGACACGTGCGACACGTCACAATCATACACAAATAAACAGAGAAGTTAGCATAAGGGAATAGGGCCTGAGGAAAGTTCTTCTCTGCAGACCACAGTGTGCATATCTGTTGTAAACTGAGAATTTATTTGAGAATGTGGCACCTTCCATACTGTCAATGGGGATTCTGATCTCAAAACCATTTTGGAATGTGCAAGTGAGCCACAGTGAAAGTGTAGAGGAGAATTTGGCTCTTGTAGATTAACTAGATCCTCCATAGATTTCTAGCTGTGTTTCCAGTAACCTCTGATACAGGAAAAAAAATGTTCACAGATGTTACTCATGGGTTTAAAATGTACTTAAACCATTTAATCTATAACAGAATATATAACAGTTCTGTTATAACTATAATAGAACTGTACAGCTTTCCAGATTTTCACAACTGACCTAAAATAATAAACATTGAAATATTTCATTTTGGCATACTATTGGTATACTAAAAATGTCACAGCTTTCAAACCTTATATATGCATCCACATATATGGAGCATGGATCTAGATTGATAAATCAGAGGATGTGGTATTGGTTACAGAACTTTTTACATTTAGGTCCTCTGTTCATAACTATTTTGGGTTAGCTTGTCCTGAATGTGCCTACCATTTAAGGGCTATATGACATTTTTCTCTCCATATCAGTCCAGTTCCTGGCAGCATCATGAGTTTATAAAGGAAGCAGCACTAGAGAGGAAAGTTAAAACTAGACAAAATCAAATTAGAGATCAGGTATCATTTTTTAAACCATTAGGGTGATTAACCATTGGAACAAACTACCAAAGAAAGGGATAGATTCTCCATTTCACTATGTCTTGTAATCAAGATTGAATGCCTTTCTGGAAAATGTGCTTAGTTAAACACAAATTATTGGGCACAAAACAAGTGAATGTATATGACCTTTGTGGTATAGAAGTTCAGATTAAGTGATCTAATGGCCCTTTCTGGCCTTAAAACCTATGAATGAATTGGCTCCCTTGTTGGCAGGCTCAGTAGAGCAGAATAAAATAGTAGTAATTGAGGGATGAATGGACAAAAAACCAAACCATTGTATCCTAGGAGCAATCCCTCCAGGTGAGGGTTGAGGCAAGTTGGTGGGATATCACGGAGCCTGAGCTGCACTGATGATGTGGACTTCAGTTTATAATGTTTTCAGTTAACCATCTTTCACTAGAACTACATTCAGCAGAGGGGGAAAAATCTATATGAATTATTTAAATTAATTTTGAATCACATGCTGTTAATGAGGACTTCTGCAATGTATAAGTATAATGAACATTTAATACAATGACAGCTCTGTCTTTATTAGAGCACAGACCTTTCTGTTGTCCCGGCTTGACACTTTCTATTGTTGTTCAGCTAGTTAATCACCTCTTTAGTTAAGTCAAGATATATTTGTACATTTCTACCCCTCAAGTAGGGCTGCTTTATTTTTTTAGTATTGAACCACTTATTGCAGTCTCAAGCTCTTGGCATTCTAAGATCAATTAAAAGTTTGTCGTCTCCCTTTTCCTTTTGGATTAAATTTAGATTCAAGTCACATGAAAACATGCAGTCATGTATAGATGACTACTAGAATTCTACCCAGGATTCACATAGAAGCATACACTTTACACACCGATACACTGCACAACAAATGTGCTGTTGCAGAAAGGGTCACAGAAAAGAGGGCTAGTTTTTGTCTCTTTCCTTTTGTGGTTATCGCTCCTCCTTCATCCTACTTAAGACCAATGAAATCTGAAAATAATTTAAACTTAGTGTTGGGAGGGACCTTAAGAGGCCATTAAGACCATCCTCGTACATTGAGGCAGGACCAAGTACACCTAGATTATCCCTGACAGGAGTTTGTCCAAACGGTTTTAAAAATCTCCAATGGTGGGAATTCCACAGCCTCCCAGGAAACTTAGTCCAGTGCTTTAGCTATCCTTGTAGTTGGAAAAATTTTCTTAATATTTAACAAGCTCCCCTACTGAAGGGCAAGCTGATTACACCATGTCCTACCTTCAGTAAACATAGAGAACAATTGATCTCCATCCTCTTCATAGCAGCCCTTAACATATTTTGAAGATTGTCATGTCCATCCTCAGTCTTTTTTCTTGAGTCTAAACATGAATAGACTCAAGACTCAAATGGATCAATTGCATTTTTCCAGTGTCTTACATACGATGCTCCTGTCAATGCACCCGAGAATAACATTAGCTTTGTTTTGCCACTGGATGACATGGTTGATGTATGATCCTCTGTAACCCCCAGATCCTTTAACAGTGCTACTGTGTATGTGTTCCATTACAATGCAGTCCCAAATCAAGACAAATCCTGTTTCTAACTCTTTCTGTAACTTTTATTGGAATAACTAGGGATATCATATTTAGATATTTCACAGATGATTAAAGAAGATATAAAGGATAAATTCTTCATTTTTTCTCTTTTACCACTCTGTTCACCCATGAAAAAGCCACTCTTAGCCTCGATTGATGTGGCCTATTGTTCTGAACATATGGTATGATCTAGAAATCTCAGATTTCTGAAACCAATTTGCTGTGTGCCCTTTGGCTATTCTCTACACCACTTTTGTGGGCCATGTCCCTTTCATTTCAATAAAACTGTACTCACTTATACCAGGCTGATTTTTCTCTATCTGCTTTCTCATTTGCAAAACACTTTCCTAGTCTCACAGATGTTATGTAAGAGTGAATGAGTAAATGTCTGTACAGAGCTATAAAATGGTAAAGTTTAAGTGAAGATTATGATTGGTTAATACAGTGCAAGTTATTTCTGATGTCCTGCCAAGAATACTGCTTTGCAGGATCAGCTTCCTTACATTGGATCAATTGCATGTTTTTCAGTTTCGATCTTTGGGTCTTTGATGTTATGCTTTGCATTTTTAAAATAGACTGTGTTTAAACCCCATCAGAATGAATGCCATCTAGAAATTATTTTTCAAATTCCAGTTTTCAAGGCTGAAATTCATATCACTCATATTTCAAAAGATTTCTTGCCAGACTACTGACATTTTACTTTAAAATCACATATCTAAGTGACACATGTTTCTGTATTTTAGCTAAAATTACATATTTGCATTAGACATCAAAGTGAAATATATAACATGGCATCAAAGCCTTTCTCCTGTTTTCATTTAACACTAATAATAAACTGGAAAATATCTGAAAATGCTTGTTTATTGATTGCTGATATTTTTACAGTAGAAGTAAAGCTCTGTCCACCTGCACACAGACTGAAAAGTACTTTTTGAGTGCGTAGCAGAGATGCTGTGGATTTTATGACCTATTCATCATGAAAACTTATTGTGTGACTGAGATACATACTAGACACTGGGGGAGCATCTAGACTGGCAAGATTTTGCGCAAAAGCGGCCACTTTTGTGCAAAAACTTGCCAGCTGTCTACACTGGCTGCTTGAATTTGCGCAAGAGCACTGACTTTGTAATGTACATAATCAGTGCTTCTTGCGCAAATACTTTGACACTCCCACTCAGGGATAAGTCCTCTTGCGCAAGAATGCTTGTGCAAGAGGGCCGGTGTAGACAGGCACCTTAATTTTTTGTGCAGGAAAGCCCGATGGCTAAAATGCATCGGCGCTTTCTTGCGTAAAAGCGTGTCTATACTGGGCACAGATGCTTTTGTGCAAAAGCAAATCTTTTGCACAAAGACACTTGCCAATCTAAACGCTCTTTTGCGGAAATACTTTTAACAGAAAACCTTTTCCGTTAAAAGTATTTCTGCAAAATCATGCCAGTCTAGACGCAGCCCGGCAGTCTCTAAGGCAAACAACAGTTTTCAACATGAATAAGCACATTTATAGTAGGGGAATAGAACTGAGGGATTTGACAAAATATGTATTAGAAAGCAGCAAGATTATTCAAAGGAAAATGGTGTTGTATAAATAAAGGAAACAATTTTGTGGCCTAACTTACTGCAACTGTAGAAATGCCAACATATTATCTTGGATCTTGCCAAGGGAGCAGATACCACAGGCAAAAAATATTGCCTTCACATCTGTATATTGTTTTCCACCAAAAAATGAGGACGGGCCAATGTGTTGTTCTAATAAGCATTAGTGAAAGGAACTCAGATTTTCTGAGCATTGAAATAACCTTGTGTGAACAGGTGCTGTTTTGAACTTGCTTTCATACATATCCTACACAATTCTTGGCATTTGATTTTTATTAACAACACTACAGAAAGTTTAGCTCAAGCTTCCTCTCCAGGTATAGCTGATCATAGAATTCCTGCCTCAGGACTGCTCAGCTCATCCCAGATCCTCCATTGCTTTAAAGAGCTGCGCCACCCCCCTTTATCTGGGAGGGATAATGAACTACTTGTCTCCATCAATCACCAGAATCCTCTTAACCCTTCCCAAGTGGAATGAACACCTTCTAAAAGGGTGGGTGTTTCTGACATACTTCCATGATGTTACCCCTCATGAACAGCTTGATTCAGCAGGTATCCCAATGAAGGACTCAGCCCTATGAAATACTGAGCCCCTGCCTTAGGTCTTAAGTCTTAAGACTTAATAGGTCATTTGGTTGAGAAAGGGTTAAACATAAATACTGTATTAAAATGAATACAAATAGAATAACTTTGATTTAAACTTCTCAGGCAGGGACTGTGTCTTTACCTGCATTTTATACAATGCCAAGTGTGCTCTTGGTGTGAAGCAAATAC